AGTGTGATGTACCTTATGTTTGGTCTCAGTTTAAACACTGAACACTGTACATATTACATTTCATGACGGAATGTTGCACCATAAAAAGACACGTTTGCAGAGGATGATACACACAAAGCTGAGTTTATGCGGCATTATAATAAGATGTGAAGCCATCCTCTATTTCAGTTCACTGTTTGCAAGGGTGTTGAAGTGTCCTTGAGCAAGGCACAGACTCCCCTCTCAGTGCAGGTGAACATGTCCTCTGTATTAATTCATAAAGTGTCACATTTTAATTATTGCTGTATTTTAAACCGATGGATTATTTGCCATCATGATAAATGATCACAGCAGCATGGTTCTGTCTGTTGTCTTTGTGTTGATACTTTAATGAACACAATAATAATATCCAGAACAACGTGAACTTCATACTGAAGGCACAGATTAAGTAGATTATATCAAAGTCCTTCAAGAGTTAAGAGTTCATATCAATAATAATAAATCTAGGATGTTATTTAATGAGGCTATGAGCAGAAATACTGTGAATTTGTTTCTGTGGTTAAATTCATCTGAGCCCTTATATTATGTGACAGCGGCTACAAATATTATCTGATTAATACATTAATTATCTTAATTACCTCATTAGCTAAATCAGTCAACTTATAATGAGAGTCTGTCTGTAAATTTAGAGGAGGAAATTAGCTTTTCTCTCTCAAACAATGATATTGCAGCCATTCATCTTAGCTTTGAGGTTTTTATGTATGCTGTTATGGATATTTTATTGCAACCAAAGTGTCTTAAGCTGTATGTAATGTCCAGAAAAGCCTAAAAATAAACCTCTGTCACTACATTACAATCATGTTTTTATATATTTTATGGTAATTCTGTAAGCATAGCACCTGTGGACAGTTACATTAATGTGTTCACCATGAATATTTAAAACTCAGGGGTGAGATTTGACCTTGTTTAAAAATTCTGATGGAAAATGATGGTTTGGGCAACACATTTTACGATGAATGATCATTTTAAAAGCCCTCTCTGTAACTTAATTAATTGTTTTTTACTTAATACAGTTTTTAAGAATAACACAGTAATGTGCAGTGCATGGTGTTCTTTGCAATATGCTGTACAACCACATGATGGCGCTAAGCAGCAGCTCCTGGTTATTTTGTTGCGAGCCAGTATAATAAGTCTACAGCAGCAGAGAAGAAACTCTATGCAGTACAGCCGCAGTAGTGCCCCTTATCCTCAGTCCCAGCTATTATTGCAATATACTGTCACGCTACAGTTGCACATGTCCACGGGCGCACGCACGCTCAGAAATACATCAAACACAAACTTTTGTCTTCCCTACCAGGACTGAAGCAGCACAGTTGCAATGGGTTGAAGGCCCTGGTGTGCAAATAAAGTCCCTTTTCTCTGTGTCATCCTCAAGTGACATCTAACTGTACATGTACAGTTGTCCATCTGCTGTGGGCGAATGATTAAGAATGACAGGCAAGAGGTAAAGCAGCAGATTTAGTAACAGTTTGTCAGGTAGTGCTGCAGCAAGGCATAAAACTTTTAAACATAAGAGCAGCATCCCGGGATGATTGGAGAAGGTTGGATCAGGACCAGGTTGTACTTTACTGCTCTGTGGTCTTGTTTTCTTCTTCCACCTCAAAATGATTAAATTAAACATGATTCACCACGGTGCACTGGACAATGGGGCCTCCCAGACAATAATATTTTAATATGATGTCTATTCCCATTTAATGTTAAAATACCCCTTCACACAAAAATGTGTTTTTCTCTTTGTGACTTAAATGGATGTTTGAATTCACTTTGCAAAATGATGTATGTGCAGAGTTTACACTAGAAGCCTGTTAAGATTCACCACGTTTCTCTGTGTTCACCTTAAATCAGAGTTTAAGACGTGTTCTTATAAGCACGATCTGTGACATTATTCAATAAGCAAAGAAAGAGAAAACATCTTTTCGTTTGAAATTAATTAATATTTGCACATTCATAGATTCTGTATTGTTCTATGAGGGAAATAGATTAGATGTAATTTTAAGATTTTTTGACTGAAATGTTTGAAACACAGGAATTTTATGGAGATAGAAAGCGTTTTAAGTAATTATTATCACACTATACTTAACATGTAACAGGTGTAAGATGCGATGTATTCCCATTTATGTCTTATTTCAGTCTTATGATGAACTTCTCAGACTCCTGACCCAGTGAATGGATGTCCAGTCTTGTAGCAACAATGTCCTTCATGAATAGCGCCAAGGTCCATTAGAGATTTTGCTGTTTTTAAGGATGATTAATCAGAACAAAAACCACACTCGAGCTGGTTAGGTGTCCATGATAATTTTGTGTTGAAGGACAACATCAACATTTTTTGAGGTGAATCAGCAAGACACATTTCCTGCAACACACCAAGGACAACTTGATGTTTGAAAATAATATTGCTGCATAATATTTTTACCAAAACAAGATGATTATTTAACCCTTTCTTTGAATCTGTAGCCATTGGTCCCCAGTTCCAGATATCACAGCTCTGTATAAGAGGGGGGGCCCCACATTAACTAACAGCTCATTTGATTTATTTTTACAGACGAGCTCTCCTCCTTCTAATACCCTAATCAGCATTCATACCTTGCCGTGATGATTCGGGACAATGCTTTTTTATTGAGGAAGTGATCTCACCCTTGAGTGCCAGAATCAGCCTTTTTTACAGCCCATCTCCTCGGGGCCTCATCCATCACCAAGGTGTCTGGGCGACACGGCCGCTAGACACATACTAACTCATTTAAGGAGAGGGACATACGGGGATATATCACTCAACATCACTAACTCACTTACTGACGGCTGATGTGGTGAAACATATCCAGCTTGTTCCAAATCCCTCGGTGCAGTCTGTGAGTTTTTAACCACAGGGAAATAAGGAGATTATTCAGCTTCTGCTGACAGATAAGGAGGGATAAAGGACAAATGGGTTCCCTTGGATTTTGGTTTGTCTTTCTATTTGTTCATTCTTTATTCTTCAGGTTTAGCTGGCATTGTCTTCTCTTCTCTCCTTGTACGTATAAACAAGATCACATGCTTCATGTTACAAAAGCGATCGTGACTGATTGCCACTGAAAGCTGAACGTCTCTCAGTTAATACTTCCTTTATCAACTGTGAACTCAATCAAAAACCATGTAATCTTACAAAATATCTGCTGGTTCAATCACCAGTCTAACAAAGGCAGAGCGTTGCTCATCACTGTAATAATTTCCAATTACATTTTTAAAATGAGTAGTGTAAAACGTGTCTGTAAGAAATATTGGTAAGACCTATTTAGCATTTGTTAGCAATGTATAAACATTTAAAGTAAGACTATGTAGCTTTCCCACTGTGGCCACAAGTAACAATTGTGCTAAAAACACTAAAATGTACAGTGTAACAGTGGCACAGCTAGATAACCGTCATTACTCACTCAGCAATATCACAGTATCACCTAAAGGTAAAGCACCATAAGCTACTGGTCACACCAGAAACTAAAAGAGACAAGCCAAACCCGTGCATTTTATTGCTCAGTTATATATAACTTCTCATCTGTATGAGAAATAATGTGTTCATTCTTCTTTCAAATGTTGCATAGTATTGCTTTAATAAATTGTTACAAAACATTATATTATGTATTTGTAAGTAGGAATTAAGACATTTTAAATATTTAGTTTTTTAATTTAATTCATTTAATTTGTCAGCAACTATAACTGCTCATGTGAAACATCCTGTGTAGGGAATACCTACCAATAATAAATTGTTCACAATGTAATACAGTACAGTAATTGTAGTAGTATGTCTTCATATATAATGTGATGCATATATGTATTATATTTATGAAAAGTAAACTAAAAAGGGTGTGTAACATTTCTATTGGCAGAAATGGAATATAATATTATATGTTTTCACTGGAAGTTAAAATTTTATTGTTACCCTAAAATGATCCATTTACATCTATAAAGGACATCATGTTTCTACATTAACCAAGTACGGACAAACCAAACATTGGCTCTAGGTAGAGCTTTTCGTGGGTTTTTGCAGCCACCATAGTTATAGTTAAGGGTGAGGCAAGAGGTATTTAGTGAGTTGTCATCTGCATTCTCATCGCTAGATGCAACTAAATCCTGAGCACTGGTTCTTTAATGTTACTACGTTTATAACAATGTATTTATTTTTTGATTGTTATTACATCTTATTACGTACTTCTTCATGCTACGTGTCAACTGGTTGACTGAGCAAACTCACTAAGCCACAAGCTGCTGAAAGTCTTGGAAAAGATCTAGTAAGTGGACTTTGAGTTCAGAAAGTTGTTTTTCCAAGAATGAACCTTCAAGCACAACCTGTCGTCATGAGCTTTCAACATGAATATTTCAACAGCTTTAATTGAACCTGCCCGTCGTGTATAAACCGTTAATATATGTACTATAACACACTGTAAATGTTCTTGTGGGTTTGTTGATATATCAGTACATAAAGTTAGACAGTTACGGGATGCTTCATAAGAATAAGTGCTTATATATTAAATCCTTATATCTGCTTACGACTACATTATAGTGTGTTACATATAACAGTTTATGAAGTGTTTATATGTTATAAATGTTAATTGGGGCTTTTTATTATTTTTTTTTACCTAAAACTATAAATATATGTTTAGAGTTTCCGATTGTGTGATGAAGCGATGAGTCAGCTGCCTCTTCCTCCATCAGCTTCAACTGGCATCTGATGACTAGCACTCCCCAGAGCCACTGTTAGACTTCATTACATTATAGCTGTTAATTATAAATCTCCATCCAACTGCACTCTGATGGCCTAAATGTGCCATAATGGGCCTTACTTGGAAACGACAGTCCATTGTCAGGCTGTGCCGACTAGACTGCACCCACTAACCAGCTCTTAATGAATTCGTTTCAAAGCCCCTTTATTGGGAAAGACGACACTCAGATGATACGAGCGTTGCATTAAGAGGATGATCTTTATTGCCCAAGAATCCACCTGAGAATGAAATAGCACGGCACAGCTCATCCAAACAAAGCTTATTTGCATCTTTAAACATCTCTGTTGGCATAAGACATGACGTATATACAGCAAAACGTACAGAACACACATTGAAATCAGCATATTGCTGCCATGATCTTCAAAAAATCTGCACATCATAGTGTCACAGTACCTTGAGTAAAATAAGGAGCAAGACTTGGGCATTTTATTCACTGTACTAAGATTCCTTCAGAGTTTAATCCCTTCATTTAACATGTGTGGGAAAAGACAAATTTCAGACGTAACTACTCTTCACACAAAACACACTAACAGATTAACAGAGCGCCATCACCAGTTTCCCCAAACTTTATGGCTAAAAGGAAAAGTAGTGCACAAATTTCATCCTACACATAGACTTCTACCATAGAAAGGACATCAAATGCCCCCCTAATCCAGATTATACAGTATGGCATCCATTTTATATAGTTAAAGTTATATCTGTGGGTCTACAACAACTCTACGACATTATGATCTTCAAGTACGTACTCCAATTATAATCACGTTGCCTTGAATTTCATGATATGGTATACATAGGTATCAGTGCTGTAGCAGAGAAGCTAGTAAAAAATTATTTTACATTGATATTTAAAAATCTTTAAAAAAATTATTATCCACTGTAATTGCTTTAATCTACTCTTCATTAATGCCACATTAGTAAATAAAAAACAGCAAATGAACAGAGCCACTTTTAAATAAATATCACTTTGCTGTCGTACAGTCGTATCATGACTTTGAGTACTCTTTCCCTGAAATGTTCTTCTAAAATCAGGAGGCCGGTTATTGTTTTATGAGATTCTGATGCTTCCCTTCAATCGTCTATATAAGAATGTAGTGAATAGATACTTTAGCGATACACGACACAGTTGGGATGCAGGTTTATGTGAATGTCTTACAGGCCACATTATATTACTGTGGACATATGCTGGTATTATTCAATAGTATGAGTCTTTACTCTTTGGCAAGACTTACCTCTTAGGACACATATACCTTTTTCTATACAAAAAGGACAAAGAAGATCAAATCATTAAAAGGCTCTAAATGCACTAGAATGCAGATTAACAGGCTTCAAGAAAGATGAAATAATCCACGAGGATTTTCAAGTATCAGGTGGTCTTTTGACAAGAGAAGCTCTACTTTTGGCATGTAACTGTAAATATTTCTAGAAGGCGATATCTTCTGCTTTTTATGCTGTTTGTCCATTCGTCTTGACACAGACAGCAAAAATGACAAAGTCCTCATTGTCAAAGACACTAAATGCAAATTAAACTGCTTCATTCACTTCCGTTCGAACTGTTATTGGGAGCAGGAAGGGGCTCGCTCTAAAAAGGTTCCAGCTGCTTGCCTATGAGGAACATACTTCCTGGCGATTGCAAATTCAAAACTTTAAACTTTTTGTCACAGCTGAAATGTACAAATACATAGTGTCAAACCACACCATTACCCGTGATCCTTCACTTCCTGTCATCCTACCCCCTGCGTCGGGGGGTCAGGATGATGCTAATGGATGTCCGTGTTCGGGTCAGGCTTTGGCCTCCAGCAGTTCGAGGAACAGTTTGTGCATGGGCACGCGGCCGTCCTGTTTGATGCTGCAGAAGTGCTGGACAGCACGAGCAGCCGTCTGACGGAGGAGAGGGAGGGTCATGATCAGTTTGCCAGCCCTCCGAGGGTCCTCTGGGTGCTGGGTGACCTCATAGTCCTGTAGGGCCCCGTGCAGGACATCCTGGAGTCTCTGAACTGCTTCTGAGTCCTCAATTTGCATGGAGTCTGTAAGGAGAGTTGGATTTGAGGAATTAAGGTATGTCAAGGGATTAAATGCATTATACTATACTCTATAAAATAAAAGCATGATTTCAAAAAGCTAATTTGTAGAGCAGATAGAAATAGAAATTAACAAGACTAAGAGTCTCTGCAGCTAAGCTAGCAGCTCTGTGAGGCTTAAGTTAGACCTAAATGCTAACATTAGCATGGCAACATGCTCACAATGCTGACATCAGACAGCAGGTATACAGTTTACCATTCTAATTTAACATGTCAGCACGCTAACATTTGCAATTTTGCAAGTATTTGGACACAAATCAAAGTTGGGACACCTGCTGGTGGCGCTAGGTGAAAAATCTGAGGATCATCACATAATTCTTCCTTTGGGGACCACGAACATATGTACAAAACTTCACGACAGTTGAGCCAATAGTTGTTGAGATATTTCAGTCCGGACCAAAGCAGTGGACCAACCGACTGACTGATATTGCCATCCAGAGACCTTCTAGCATGTTCTATCTGCAGTTGTGCAGATATAGAACCTAATATAATCTCTGTAATAACTAACTTAATACCTGAGTTAGCGAGCGCAATAGCCTTGAGGACCACAAACTCGTCCTTCTCCAGCCCCATGGTTTTATACTTCTTCACCAGCTGCAGGATGGCGTTGTTGAGGTCAAGCAGCCCGGCCAGCTTCGACTGCTCCTCGTCCATGATGTAGTCCTCGGCGTACACCAGCTTGTCCTCCAAGCCCAGCGAGCGGAACACCACTCGAAGAATCAAAATCTCCATCCAGCCGCTCTGCAGTAGACTCATCTGATCAGCCAGAGAGAGGGAGGGGAAGCCTAGAACGAGGAGAAGATAAAAATGGACCAGTTACTTGGGATGCAGATGCATTAAATTCTTGTATGACATTTTTGGTAAATATGTTCTTGTAAAAAAATTGGATGAGAAGATTGATGCCACTTTCATATCCATCATATATTAAATATGAAGCTACAGCTTCCAGTGTTTATGCTAAGCTAAGCTAAGCTAACTGTCTCAAATTAAACGGACAGATATGAGAGAGGTGTGAATCCTCTCACCTAACCATTGGCAAGAAAGTGAATAAGTGTATTTTTTATTGTTGATGATTAATTAAAAAAATGTAATCCATGGTAACGGAAAATGGAGAGTTTCTATTTGTTAGGTTTTAAAATGGCTTCTCTGTCTTCTTCTCTTACTTTAGTCGACAGAGGTTTAGCTTAATTAGAACTACAACAAGTTTAAACAGTGGTTGAAGGTCTACATTATAATAATTTGTATACAGCGTAATAATATCATTGATGGTATAGAATTGTCTTACAGCAGAAGGACATCCTCATAAGAAGACCACATTGCAAAGGGCATAACAAAGGACAGAGGGAGTGAATAGGTGGTGAATTTAATTACACTCTGTTGGACACACCCACTTTGATTGACAATTACACCCCACAGGAGCATGATTAAACCTGATCACGTCCCCCACATAAACCTGCATACACACGCTCACACACACGTTTACTGTAATTAAAAAGATGATTTTACAGAGCGAGGGGAGGAAGGGGAGGCGTTTGTATTTTTGACACCATCAGTGATTGTTATCAGGATCCATTGCTCTTTACAATCACCACGGGGACGTCAGTGGCGCCCTTTCCCCACTATCGCTCCCTGATTGATTGGAAACGCTGTCTGTGCACAATTTCATTGGTCGATAGGGATCAGTATCCTGGCACTGGATCATCGATCAGGGACAGAGACCTGTGTGAGTGTGTGTGTGTGTGTTTGGGCTACGTGTGATGAAATCTCAGGCAATATATTGATAGATTTTTTAAGGACAAATACAAGTTAAACCTTCAACAAAGAAAAAAGACCACATTTTATAGGGACAAAAGATTTTTTTTTCCAAAGCAAAGCCCTCTGAGGGCATTAAGGGAAGGAAAATTGTCTTGCCAGTGTTAGTTGTATCATATCAGCAAGAACACACAGCCAGTCACACCACAGTCGCTCTCACACACACACATTTGACAGCCAACTTGCAGCACAGACTCAAAAAGGCCAAAAGCAAAGAGGGCAGTTGGTCTTTAGCCAGCTCATCTGCCAGTCTGGCCCTCAGACTTCAGACCACATCACTGTCAATCTGCCTGATAAGAGCAGACACGGAGGAGGGGGGAGCGGCGAGGACAGTAGCCCCATAACACTCACCTCCCCCTGGGCAAAGAACTCAGATGGCCCGGGCCACTTTGCCGAGGACCCTGGTTCTCCCAGCGATGAGGGCCGTGTGGCCTGCCACTCATCCAGAGCTGATGTGACATGGTCATTACGCTGCTAGGAGGGGGCAGCCTTTTTTTTAAATATCTATTCTCTCTTTGCATGTTTTTTTTATCCGCCTTCATTTTCTTTGTCTCCTGTCAGTTGAGCTTTCTTGGTCTCTTTTACCTCTTCAACCTGTTCCTCGAATGATGCTTTTGTCTCTTCCTCTTTGTCTTCTGTCTCGTGCTCTCTGTCATCTCATCTCAAGTCACCCTTATTGTTTCCTCTTTCTCTTTTTCTGCCATTCATTTCTCTGCCTCTCTGTATGTTTCTTTGTTTCTCTTTAACCACATCAAATTCTTCTAAAATTGTAATTATTTATTTGTATTTTAATTTGATTATGCCATACATGCTTAAAAGTAAAAAAAATGCTCATCAGTTGTTATTAAAGCACAAAATGATGTATTAAATGAAGTCTGACAAGCAACAAAAATACATGTTTTATAATGATTTGTTTGTTATTTATTACTAATTAAGGAATTAATTATTAATTGATTGCCACAAATCTGGTTTTTTCCCTCTTTTTCATCAAACCGCAGTTTTTG